CAACGTGCTTCCTGAGAGGGGCAGACGCCGTGCAGCAGTCGCGACCAGCGGCGATCAAATCAGCGGAGGACCTCGTCGGCATCTCCGACGATGACGCCTGCCACGCCGCGCCTCCAGCAGAGCTGCCTTCCCAGGTGGCCGCAGGCGGGCTCACAGGCGAGGCGGCGGCTGCTGAGGGCCCCCGCAGCTGACCCCCCAGTGGCGGCTCTGGACCTGCCCGCGCTGGGCACCGCAGAGGGCGCCCGGCAGTCGGCGACGCCAGAGCTGCCGCAGGAGAGGCTGGCCGGCGCCGACCTTGCAGCCGCGGGTGCCTGTGCTGCGGGGGAGGGCGCCCTGCCAGTTGAGACGCCAGACCTGTCCGATGACAAGGGTGCGTCAGCCCACTAGTGCGCTACCGCCGAATCGAGTGCCTCTGGGCCCCACCCCCCGGCGACGACGGGCCCCGCAGAGTCGTCGGCAAGCGCGGCCAAGGCAACGCTGGGCACCACAGAATGCGCCCCTCAGTCGGCGACGCCAGAGCTACTGCAGGGGAGGCTGGCTGGCGCCGAGCTTGCAGCCGCAGGCGCCTTTGCTTCGGCCGAGGGCGCTCCCCCAATGGCTGACGCGCCCGTGGCAACTGCGCTGGGTGCTGCAGAGGGCGCCCCGCAGTCGGCGGCGCAGCCGAAGGAGAGGTCATTCGACGCTGGTGTTAACGCAGCGGCCGTGGCAACTGCGCAGGGCACTGCAGATGGCGGAACGCAGTCGGCGAACGCGGCCAATGCCTCCCCAGGCGCCCCAATCGTCCCAACCTGTGACGCCAAATCCGCGCACGGCGATGGTGACTGCCGCTGCAGCTTCCGCTACGACGCCGCCACCGCCCCTGGCGATATCGACCTCGACCGCCAGATGGCGGAGTTGCTAGACACCGAGGAGGCCGTGCTCGACGCGATCGACCCTTGGGATGTCCACGGTTGCCTGGCCGCTCTGGGCGAGATCGAAGAACCACGGGATGCGAACTCCTCCCAATGCTGGGCCCTCTTGTGTGCCGTCTTGGGGAGTCTTGGAGAGTTCGGAGTGGGGTCCTCCTGTACTTTGGGCTTGGTCGTGGCGAAGGGTCGCGACCCTTGCCCCTCTGGGTTTAAGATTTTACTTCGGGGGTCTCGTAATAGTGGTAGGGGCGGTCTGGTAATAGTGGTGGGGGCGGTCTGGTAATAGTGGTAAGGGGGGGTCCTTGGTAAAATGTTACCACGGCGGGGGGGTGGCCTGTAGTGGTTAATTGTGGTGGCCTGTTGCCATTGCCAGGCCCACCCGTTAGCAATGCTTCACTGCGGGACCCGTTGGCAGGCCCGCCGTAGTAGAATTTAGGGTTCGTCGCCATGGCCAAGCCTTGAGGGGGGGGGAGGTCGGCAGCGAACGAGGATGCCGCGCAACCATATCGGGACCCTCTCGCAGCCTTTCCGATCATTCTTGGTGTTCCACTGAGGTCCTCGACGCTGGGCCCCGCCTGGGGGTTGGCCCGGGCATGGCCCCATGCCCCCCGCCCCCGCGCGGGGGCGCAAGAGGGGGATGCGGGTGGGGATGCGGATGGAGAGGGGGAGGGTAGGGGGGGAGAAGAACGGAGGACTGGACTGGACTGGAACGCTTACGACCCTGATGAGTTCCACTGTCGTGCGACGCTTAGCAAACGAGCACATGATATGTATAAGGATCAGCGGATAGCACGGGGCTATAGCCTGCAGCCCCGCTGGGGGGAAGCCTCTGGCCCAGAGCAGGACCGTCCAATGGGGAACGACCCGTGACGGCCTACATGGGCACCATCCTCCCAGCGGCAGGCTCGCATTAGAAGAGTCGAAAGTCTCCCCCAATTCAACCCTAGGCCACGGCCCAGCAACGAAACGACGAGAGATCGAAGAGGGATGACGGGCGAGAAGGAACAGGACACCGCCGACACACGCAAACACACACACACACACACGCGCACGAGGCCAGGAGAAGGAAGAGAGCAATCAGCAGCAGGAGCCACAGGAGAGAGGGAGGAAAGGAGGAAGGGCAGCAGGCAGCGGAAGGGGGCCGTGGCGTTACGTGCGCAACTCACTCTGATCAGATTCTGGAATCAGTGACGGTGGTGGTGGAGGAGGAGGAGGAGCAAGCAGCGCACTCGAAGCACGCGCATCAGCAGAGAACGAGGAGGAGTTAAGGTCAGTGGAGACCGGCCTGACCTTAGCGGCTCTCTGAAGAGCCTGAACCACCGTCATCCGAAACTCCAGGGGCTCCTGATAATAAGCCTTGAATTTCACATCCCCCGAAGTGTATTCTAAAATTGGGGTAGCTGATTTCTCTTGCAACTTAGCAAGCTGGGGGTGTCCTAAGTGGCCCTCTTGGGCCAGCTCAAGCATACGAATTGACTGAGCGATAGCAGACAAGCGAGCGGGCTGCCTTATCCTCGAACGAGAACAGGCCTCAGAGGTAGGTGCAGAAGTCGAACGGCGGGCGGAGGGTTTCGCTGAAGCCGACGCAGTACTGCGACCTTAAACTGTCGCAAGGCTGGCGCCACTGCGACCTCTCTGAACCGTAGAATGAGTACTGCGATCCAATCTCTGAACCATAGAAGAACTGCTATCCAATCTCTGAACCATGGAAAGAGCGGCCCCCTTCCGAAGGCGCAAGACCAGAGGTCCAGACATTAAGGCGTTGCACACCGACGGAGGGGGCCGAAGTATCACCGTCTAAGCTGCCAAGTGCTTCTGAATCTCTTCTGTAGCCATCCCGAGCTTCGCCAGCAAGCGCTCTGCGTCCCTCTCCAAGGCTCCCTTGGGAGCCGCACCAGCCTTCATCTTGCCATTCTCCTGACGGATGCACACCTGCAATGCCGCGTGGACTGTCATCAGCGGCGTGCCGTCGACCGTGACCACTTGGCTCTGGATGTATGGGCTCATCATGAACTGCAGTTTGTCGGTGTTCGCCTCCTTCTTGCCAGCATTCTTGCCGAACCAGCAGAAGAACGGAGGAGGAGGACGAGGAGAAGGAAGGCCATGTGGCCAAGCTTCGGCGCGCCCGAAACGGGTTCAGATTTCTCTCGCTTGCCCTGGCCGTACTGCGCCCTTCCCCAAAAAAAACAGGCTGGGCCAAGGTAGATGGAAGTCATGCATCTTTCCCGGGGCCTTGTGCAAACCCGGGGAGCCAATGACGGCCGATGTAGGGGTGCACAAGGGATCGATGCGCCCACTTCGTACCCAAGGGCATGTGGCCAAACCCCATGATGCCGCCCCCCCTCGCTCCCCATCCCTCTTCGCCGATTGTGCCGCCCCGCCCGCTCAAATTACCCATCGTGGACATGGGCATCTTGCCAAGCAAGGCCGATGTGGTGACCGCGCAGCCTGCTGCCGAGACACAAGATACGAACGACGACAACAGAACGCCACCGCTCGATATTGCGCTTGAGAAGACGGTGGCCGGGCTGATGGGTTGGGTGGGCGTCACTTACGCAAAAGGCGATCCACCACGCGGGCACGGTCTTTTGAAAGAGGCTGCGCATCGAGACGGTCTTCTCGGGCACTGGCATCATTACCCTCGTATAAATCCGAGTTGTGGGTCGTATCCATTGTGGGTACGGCATTGCGCTTCGTATCCAGCAGTTATTTGCAGCCGAGCATAAGGAGGTCAAGCGGGATTGGATCATGGCCATCTGCGACCCTTGTTTCATCTTCGAAACTGCCACAGACCTGAGCAAGCCGAGGCTCCTCGACTTGCTATCTGGTGAGAACGTGCCGCTCCCCAAAATAGATTTGCTCATATCTGGTTTCCCGTGCGACTCCAGGTCGCAAGTTAATGTCACCCGAGTCCAGGTTGAAAAGTTGCGTCCGGAACGGAGCCGAGTCTACTGGGACTTGCTTTCAGGAGACTCGCGGGTTCTTGCATCCAACAGCAATATGGTCACCGAAATAGTCAATGGGGTAGGTGATGGTACAACCCCTGTGGAATCACAGCGTCGCATGCAACACTGGGGGGGTCACATGCAACGTTGCTCGCGTACAACAGATATGTCATATATGAGGCGGGCACATACAACGATGACCATGCCACATACGAGAAAGAAACGATCTGATCACATGACTTTGATTTGTCAACCCTGGGCTCCGAATGGTCGTAATTCTGGCGGCGGAATTCCTGTGCTCCGCTTCGTCTTGCGGAATTCCAATGGTCACAGTTTTTGCGGAATTCCAGTGGTACAGCTCTTGCGGAATTCCAATGGCCACAGCTCATGCGAAATTCGAATGTCACAGCTCTTGCAGAATTCCAGTGGATACAGCGCTTGCGGAGTTCCAGTGGTCAAAGCTCTTGCGGAATTCCAGTGGTCACAGCTCTTGCAGAATTCCAGTGGTCACAATTCTTCTTGGGGAATTCCAATGGTCACAACTCCTGCGGAATTCCAATGCTCCGCTTCCTCTTGCGGTACTCCAATGGTCACCTCTCTGGCGAAATTCTAGTGGTCACAACTCCTGCGGATTTCCAGTGGTCACAGCTCTTGCGGAACTCCAGAGATCACAAATCTTGCGGAATCCCAATGGTCACAGCCCTGGCGAAATTCCAATTGTCACCAATATTATTGCGGATTTCCAGTGGTCACAATTCTTGCGCAATTCGTCAGGAGTTCGTGCCAGATAAGCAGCGGATGCAGTTGTTTTCAGGAACCGCTGCGGCGGGCCACCAGGGGAAACTTCAGAGGATTGTGTTGGCAATTCTTGCAGTTGGTCCACAATCTTGCGATTCTGACATTTTGCGGCACGAAAGCAGATCGAGGTTAATTGAAGTAATAGTGGCAAGCTCATTTCGGCCCCAGAAATAGAATTGCAGGTTTTGTAAGGCATCGTCTCTACTCATCAGTACGTTTGAGCGGTGCTCAACTGCAGAAGAGAAGCGGCAAGAAACACGGCGACGGGACCGGAAACACAAATATCCGAAAAAGCGGAGCTGGCAACAAAAACAACCCTGCCGCTTCCACAGCCCACTGAGCTCGGCACGGCAGGCGCCGCATCCGGCACAGCAGGGGAGGAGCACTTTGTCTCGAAGGTGAAAACGACGAAGGACTTGCGCGCGGGGGCCACGTCGCTCCTCTGCGCCGACGGCGGCTCCGTGCTGGCGGCGAGCGCGACGACGTCGCCGTGCTGCAGGGGCCGCTCGCTGCTGCCCTGGGCGAGGTACCTGCTGTTCAGGAGGCACCCGTTCAGCGACATGCACTGCAGGTAGAAGGATGGCTCCACCGGCCCCCCCGGCTCAGAAGTAGAGGAATCAAAAACTGCACAACTATGAACTTTCGGAATGCCGCGCAGATTTCTTGGGTCGGCGCTGGCCCCCTGGCGGCGCCTCTGGCGCCGCCCCTGGGGAGATCCGCGCGCCAGGTCCAGCGCTGATCCAAGGAAGCCGCGTGGGCCTCAGAAAGTCTATGCTCATGCCCTTTTCTCTTCTTCGATGAAGACGACCTGCGGGCAATCACCTTGAAGTGCTCGCGGGAGACAGTGCCATGGAGCCTCCTGTCAGGAACGAGCGTGTCCCAGAAGGCCGACGGCTGCGCCGTGCGCCCCACCACCAGCTCCGCGCCCCGCTGCGGGAACAGCAGCGACCTCTGCTGCGCGGCCAGCTGACCGAGCTCCACGCCCTGCGCGTAGACGCACCACAGGCGGGCCGCGACCGCCTGCTCGCCCTCGTCGGAGGACGCGGCCGAGGACATGCGGCGCCGGTCCCTCCTGTCTGGCGACGCCGAGGCGCCCCCGGGCCGCTGCTGCTGCCGCGGCGGCGGCGGCCCTCGAGATGCGGCCCTGTCCGCAGGGTCCTCGGGAGGAGCCGGGCACAACACAGGCACGAGCATCATAACCTGCGGAGGCCCGCGCGGGCTTCGCAGATCGGCGCTGGGCCCCCTCCGCTAGGCGCGCGGACCGCTCGGGCCCTGCTGAGATAATGGAGGGGGGAATCTTGGAGGCTTGGAAAGGAGCACCAGCACCAAAACAAGGGGTTGCCTCCACCAGGGCAGGATGGTCCTAGACTATGGTGTTGCTGGTAATCTTTCGGGCACCCAGGGAGCCCGAATGTTACCACCATGGTGGATCATCTGCCCTCGGTGGAGGCACACCACCGATATAGGTGCTAGTGTCGACGTCTTGGCCTCCGATGATAAACAGCGGGCGAAAAAAGGTGCACCTTTCGTTCACCTTTGGGGCCCTGTGGGGCCCTTCAGGGCCCCTGTCAAGCAACCCTCGATTCCTATCGGCAGTGACCTCCAGCGTCGATGCTGTCTGCAGCTGCCTGAGCTGCGTCATCCAAGGTCAAGCAGGGGCGAGGAACAGGCTCGGAGGTGTGAAAGCTGGAAAACGGGGAGGAGCAAGGCTAAGACCATCACTCTGCCCCTCGGCACAGAAAGCCGGGCGGGGAAACTGTGGCAACCCCTTGCGGGCTGCAGCCCTGCCCGTTCCTCCGATACGACACGCCGGCTCCTCCGATACGCCACGCCCGAGGCACTTTCCAGGGGCGGCGCCGAAGGCCCCGCCAGGGAGGATCCAGCGCCGACCCAAGATGTCCGCGCGAACCTCCGAAAGCCTTCGGTGGCACCTAGACGCCACATCGGCGCTGCCTTGTTGACTACCAGACTCCGACCAACGCCAGCCACTGCACTCATATGATTCGGGGAAGCCAGAAGATACCGACAGCGCTACTCCCCGGACCTTTCCCGGGGTGCGTCCCGGGTAGACTCTCGAAGCGAATCCAGCGGTGGCGACGAGGGCCTCCCACGAGGCCCGACCAGGCGAAGACGAGGCGCCAGGGTAGGGCTCTGGGCACCCTCCTCCTCCTCGGATGACCTGCTGCTGACCTCAAACCTCCTTCCGATCCTTGGACGGCTGGCCGTGCTGCCCTCGGCCCGGCGCGCCCGGGCTGCCGCCGCGCACCGGCGAGCTGCTGGGGCTGCCCTCGGCGGCGCGCACGCAGCTGGCGGGGACACTGTCCTCGAAGTCGCCGATCGAGAGGTGAGGATCGATCGAGGATCGAGGATCGAGGATCGATCGAGGATCGGGGATCGGGGATCGGAGGATCGAGGGTCGAGGAGGCGGGGACGCTGTCCTCGAAGTCGCCGTCGCTGTACCTGAGCATAGACTAAACGATCCCGATCCCCGCGGGCGTGTCCTGGGCCCCACTGGCCGATGTACCCCCCTAGATGGGGAGTTCCCTTGTTCCCTTCGGGTTTGGAGGTGCATATACCCAACTGGGGTGGTGGGATGGTGGGGATCGGGGTGCGGATGGGGATAGGGATCGGTTCAACGATACTGAGCACCTCACGGCGAAGGTGCCGTTCTGGTTCACCCGCTCGACGCGGCCAGGGAACCAGCCCGTGCCGCCCCTCCACCTTCCGAATGTAGGACAACACAGCGTGAATGTAGACTTCCGGAGTTCGGCGCGGATGTCTTGGATCGGCGCTTGACCCCCCGCCTCTGGCGCACGGATCAGCGCCCCTCAAACGGGGACTCCACTAACGGGTACTTTGGCCAGTGACCCAGCGAGCCCAACCCTTCCCGATGTGGGCAACGCTGCAATGCAAGAAAAAGGCCCTAAAGTGGCAACTTTCGGCACAATTTCAAAGTACCCGTTAGTAAGTACCCGTTACGGTGCCGTTGAACGGAGCACGTCAGGTGCGGCGCCGGAGGCGCCGCCAGGGAGGACCATCGCAGAACCAAGAAGCCCGTGCGGACCTCTGGTGAACGTTTTCTTATTCAGCGTTTCGACATTGGGCGGAAGGGGGGGGAGGAGGGGGGGGTCTGGCTCCGGGCCTCTGCTTGCTGCGACTGTCTGCAACGGTGCGTCCTATGGGGGAGACTCCACCTGCTCGAAAATGGCGCCGAACACAGCCAAGATCTAGTCCATGGGGTGGGGGGCGGAGGGAGGGGGGAGGGGGCCCGCGCAGATCGGCAAACCACTGAATGAGAAAACGATCACCTGGAAGATTATGATTGCGCTGTGTCTGCTTTTCCGGCCAGCACCTGCACTCTACAGAGGACCCAGCCATCAGCCGCTTCACGCCAGCCTCGGGCGGATGTTGACGGGGGGCGATCAGCGGGGGGGGATGTCGAGAGTTACAGGAAAGCGTCCCTAAGCCCCAAAGGGCCCCAAAACGGCACCCGCGTCTCCCAACAGGTGCTGGAAAGGCGTGCCGTTCTCCACTCCCCATTTGCTCCCCGCTCCCCCTGGCTGCTCGGCGGCTCTAAGGTGCGGTTTTGAGGGACGGGACCATGAAGACAGGAAAGGGATCCCAAGCTGAACCTTTACTGTTTGCTGCCTCTCGTCCTCAGGGCCCCATCCCGAGACATCCGACGACGGGATTCTTTCAATGCATGGCCCCAATGGAAGCGCCCCCGTCCCCAAGGCGAACTTTCCATGCTGGATCCACTTTTGACGGCCCCAGGGCCCGCAAGCGGGCCCCAGAGGCCGAAATCGAGGCAAAGCGCCCGGGCTGCAAAAAAATACATCGTCGGAGATCTGGGTCCCTCAGGGCCCTTTCGTTGAGCCGCTCCCTCGTCGCCCGCCCGGCATTGGAGTAGCATGTGGGACCTGCTTTATATCAGGACGTACCATAGACGGATCCACCAGTCCTCCGACCCTGTACTGCGCCGAACGCAACGGCAGCGTTGTCCATGGGCACATCCACCCCGAATGTGTCTGTAACGACACCCAGTGTGTCCACAAACGCTGATTGCTAGCAAGTGAGAGTGGTATCTGGCATAGGCCCCGGGAATCAATTGCTCGGAGCTAAGCGCAAATTTCTTGGAATGGCGCTGGGCTCCCCCCCCCCCCCTGGCCTGGCGCGCGGAGCGCGCCAGGGGACGGGGAGCCCCAGCGCAGATTCAAGAAATCTGCGCGGAGCTCAGACAATTTGTGTCTATGCAGTTGTTTCCTCTTCGATGAAAACGGTATTTGGCATAGGGCCCATGTATTGGTCTCCAAGAAGCAGGTCGATTTTGCCCACCAAGCCCAACAGCCTGCGGCGCGGGCTGCGCCGGGACCGCTGGCCTCGCTGGGACCAGGGCCGACTGCCCCACGGGAGCGCCGCCAGCGTAGGCGTCGGAGGCCTGCAGCAGCTGGCGGAGCTCTTCCACCAGCTGCTTGAAGAGCGGGCGCTCCTCCAGGCCCAGACATGCTCACGTCGTGGAAAGATCGCGGCGGAGTGTTTTCAGCAACTTGGGATCGGAAACAGGCCCTGGAGAAAGGTGTGGGACTTCTGGGGGCCCCGCATTCAGTAAAGCAGTCTCAGCCATCATCTTAGATGCTCGTTCTGGGGACCTTCCTGGATCCACTCGCTGCACTCATGTGCCGATGCTGCATCGAAAGCCCGTCGACTCGCGTCGAACTTGAGCCGAGCTTGAGTCGAAGTACAGTCGAACCAACTAGAGTCGAACTAGAGTCGAACATATCCGTTCGGTAGGCACCAGGTCCCCGATCGAATTTCCAAAGCATCGGATCGGGAAGGGACCAGGTCAGAGCGGAGAGTGTGTCGGATCGGGCCGCATCGGCGCGGAGTCGAGACCGAATCGGATCGACCGCGCCAGGTCGCCTCGCCGTGTGGGCCGCACGGGATCGCCCGGGATACGACGAGGCCAGGACAGGGACAACATCGGACCAGGACAAGTCGGGGATCTCTGAGATCAGCGGGTTCTGAAGGATGTATCGGGCGCCGCGGCCGTTCCAAAGCGCTCCGGAACTCTCGGAGAGCGTTCTGGAAGGCTCTGGAAAGCCCTCGAACGATCTCTCAATCCTAGCCCCGCCCGAGATCGTCTGCGTATCGGAATCGAGTCGGATCGAACGGGCTGGAACCGATACCGAGCCCGATCGGCCAGATCGAAGTGGGCCGTCCTCTGGCCTCTGCTGGATACACCTGAAGGCGGTCTCGGTGACCACCTCGGCCAGCGTCAGTGGGAACTGGCTCGAGGGGTCGAGCATCTGGATCACCTTCGGGGAACCAACAAGACACCGATACGAGGGGAACAAACAAACATTTACACAATTTCTCGGAAGTCCACGCGGATCTCTTGGATCGACGCTGGACCCCATCCCTGGTGCTCGGAGCGCGCCAAGGGCGGCGCCGGAGTCGCCGCCTGGTGGCCCAACGCTGATCCGAAAAATCCGCGCGGACCTCCGATAAAGTATGTTTACGCTTAGGTCGGGCATGTCCCCCTACAGGCGGAGTTTGGATGAAGAGTAACAAAAAGCCAACACATATTCAAAACATTTGCAAAAATAGCAAAACCATCGTCCCCAGATGTTTTGTTTTACTATGTTTGAAGATTCCTCCTGTAGAGGGACAGGCCCGACTTGAAAGTGTGTGTTACGCCGCTCGCTGCTTTTCGAGGTGCCGCTGCTCCCCGGGCCTCTCCTGGGGAGCTAGGCGCACCCGGCCGTGGCGACGAGGCCTCGCCCAACAGGGCGACAACGAGGGACGGGCTACCTACCAGACCAGCCCAACCCAACCCAAAGACCAGAATTTCGGGCTGGGGGGGTACGGGGTTCACATGTGCTCTTGTTCCCAACCCTCCTTGGTTGGGCATTCGTTTCGAAGAGACCACTGCTCGCGCGTCCTCCTCCCGCCTCCCGCTCCTGTCTCCTCTTGCCTTGTGCGTACCTCTTGAGGGTGTATCTCGCCTGCGGTACCTCTTGTGTGTGGGCATCTTACCTGGGGACTGCGATCTGCGAAACCGTCGCCACTTTCGAGGGCTGCTGGTGGCTCCAGCGGAGTGAGGCACCGCGCAGATCTGAGCGGGACCGCGCCGTCCCTGGGGGGCTGCGATCTGCGAAACCGTCGCCACTTTCGATGGCTGCTGGTGGGTCCAGCGGGGACCTCGCTCTCGGGGGGGGGGCGATCTGCGAAACCGTCGCCACTTTCGAGGGCTGCTGGTGGCTCCAGCGGAGTGAGGAACCGCGCAGATCTGAGCGGGACCGCGCCGTCCCTGGGGGGCTGCGATCTGCGAAACCGTCGCCACTTTCGATGGCTGCTGGTGGGTCCAGCGGGGACCTCGCTCTCGGGGGGGGGGCGATCTGCGAAACCGTCGCCACTTTCGAGGGCTGCTGGTGGCTCCAGCGGAGTGAGGAACCGCGCAGATCTGAGCGGGACCGCGCCGTCCCTGGGGGGCTGCGATCTGCGAAACCGTCGCCACTTTCGATGGCTGCTGGTGGGTCCAGCGGGGACCTCGCTCTCGGGGGGGGGGCGATCTGCGAAACTGTCGCCACTTTCGAGGGCTGCTGGTGGCTCCAGCGGAGTGAGGAACCGCGCAGATCTGAGCGGGACCTCGCCGTCCCTGGGGGGCTGCGATCTGCGAAACGTCGCCACTGTCGAGGGCTGCTGGTGGGTCCAGCGGGAACCTCGCTCTCGGGGGGGGGGGGCGATCTGCGAAACCGTCGCCACTTTCGAGGGCTGCTGGTGGCTCCAGCGGAGTGAGGCACCGCGCAGATCTGAGCGGGACCTCGCCGTCCCTGGGGGGATGCGATCTGCGAAACCGTCGCCACTTTCGATGGCTGCTGGTGGGTCCAGCGGGGACCTCGCTCTCGGGGGGGGGGGGGGCGATCTGCGAAACTGTCGCCACTTTCGAGGGCTGCTGGGGTGCGGTCTGAGGCACCGCGCAGATCTGAGCGGGACCTCGCCGTCCCTGGAGGAGGGGCGATCTGCGAAACCGTCGCCACTTTCGAGGGCTGCTGGTGGCTCCAGCGGAGTGAGGCACCGCGCAGATCTGAGCGGGACCTCGCCGTCCTTGGGGGGATGCGATCTGCGAAACCGTCGCCACTTTCGATGGCTGCTGGTGGGTCCAGCGGGAACCTCGCTCTCGGGGGGGGGGTGCGATCTGCGAAACTGTCGCCACTTTCGAGGGCTGCTGGTGGCTCCAGCGGAGTGAGGAACCGCGCAGATCTGAGCGGGACCGCGCCGTCCCTGGGGGGCTGCGATCTGCAAAACCGTCGCCACTTCCGAAGGCTGCTGGTGGGTCCAGCGTGGTGAAGCACCGCGCAGATCTGAGCGGGACCTCGCCATCCCTGGGGGGCTGCGATCTACGAAACCGTCGCCACTTTCGAAGGCTGCTGGTGGATCCAGCGGGGTGAGGAACCGCGCAGATCGGAGCGGGACCTCGCCGTCCCTGGGGGGCTGCGTTCTGCGACACTGTCGCCTCTTTCGAGGGCTGCTGGTAGGTCCAGCGGAGTGAGGCACCGCGCAGATCTGAGCGGGACCTCGCCGCCCCTGGAGGAGAGGCGATCTGCGAAACTGTCCCACTTGTGAGGGCTGCTGGTGGCTCCAGCGGAGTGAGGCACCGCGCAGATCTGAGCGGGACCTCGCCGTCCCTGGGAGGGTGCGATCTGCGAAACCGTCGCCACTTTCGAACGCTGCTTGGGGGGCCAGCATAGCGATCTGCGAAACTGTCGCCACTTTCGAGGGCTGCTGGTGGGTCCAGCGGAGTGAGGAACCGCGCAGATCTGAGCGAGCCCTTGCCGTCCCTGGGGGGCTGCGATCTGCGAAACCGTCGCCACTTTCGAAGGCTGCTGGTGGGTCCAACGGGGTGAGGCACCGCGCAGATCTGAGCGGGACCTTGCCGTCCCTGGGGGGCTGCGATCTGCGAAACCGTCGCTACTTTCAAAGGCTGGTGGCGGGTCCAGCGGAGTGAGGCACCGCGCAGATCTGAGCGGGACCTCGTAATCCTTGGGTGGCTGCGAGCCTCACGAATGCCGCTCGCAGAAGGTAGATGCACCCATGTCACGTCATCACCTCCGTATAACGCCTCCCAAGCTACTCATGCCCCGCATTACGCAGGGGTTGGGTACGTCGCCAGGGTAACTCGATGTTCCCCGACCCCCCCCCCCACTGGAAAGTAAGGGCAAATTGAAGTCTTCGGGTTGGGTTGGGGTGGTTTGCTGGGTGGTGAGGGACGGGCAGGAGAGCCCAGAATCGAATCGACAAGTCGGATCGGCGATCGAAAGGAATTCGATCGGCGGAAATCGGCGGCCCAGTCGGGAAGAGTCGAATCGGCGGACATCGGCAGGCTAGTATTCCTCCAGTGAGAAATCGGAACCCAAATCGGAATCCCAAGTCGAATCGAATCGGAATCGGAAGCCATCGAAATCGAACCGGATCGACTGGGAGGAATCGAAACGAGCCCTGGACCGCTCCCAGTCATCGGTACATGTCCCTCCTTGGAGCCTTGGCGACCCGGCCCTGCAGGTAATCCACGAGGTAGCAGAACTCGTGGGGCCTGTCGGGCCGCGGCACCGCGGGCGGGGCGCCGGTGAGGAGCTCCAGCAGCACCATGCCGAAGCTGTGCACCTCGCTGCCCTCCCCGTGGCCAAACACATGCCCCTCCCCCCTCCCTCCCCTCCCCCCCCCCCTCCCCGCCCCGCGCGCTGGTCGTTCGTCTGTCGTCCGCCGTTTTCGTCGCCGTGTCGTGTCGACCCCCCGCTTCTGCCACTGGGCTCCCGTTTGCTGGTAAAAAGTGCACCTCGCTGCCCTCGGTGATGATAGGGGAACGAACAATGACATAAGCATCAAAACTCTGAGGTCCGCGCGGGTGTCTCGGATCGGCGCTGGACCGCCCTCCCTGGCGGCGCCTGCGGCGCCGCCCTCTGGCGCGCCCCGCGCGCCAGGGAGGGCGGTCCAGCGCCGATCCGAGACAACCGCGCGGACCTCAGAGTTTTGATGCTTACGTCATTGTTCGTTCCCCTAGATGATGCCCGAGCGGATGTACTCGGGGCAGGCGTAGCCGATGGTGCCAGATGCCTGCTGCACCTGCATGGTCATGAACTTTTGCTTCTCGGACTCGGGTCAATTCAGACCCGAGCCAGTCGAACTCTGCGGGATGCTGCAAGATCCTGCAGGATCCTGGACCCGAACCTGGGTCAGTGCACCCCTGGCCCTGTAGGATCCTGCAAGATCCGGCGCACCCCCGTTTGCATTGACCCCCGTCCCTTGAGCCCCAAGCTTAGCGCGTCGCGGCGGCCCCGGCGACACGCTGAGCCGTGGAAGCTGATGGCGTATCGCTCCACTCCTTGGGGAGAGAGGCTTCGAGCGGCTCGGGACGTTCGTGCACGTTCGTGCTTTTGGGCTGGTGCGTGGAGAGCGCTTCGCGACACAGCGCGGTATGTCAGAACCTATAGCGCGACACGCAAATCATAAGTTCCCGACCGTAGACGAAAAATAACGTCGTAAGCATAAACTTTCGCAACTTCGCGCGGATTCCTCGGATCTGCGCTGTGCCCCCCTGGCGGCGCCTCTGGCGCCGCCCTTGGCGCGCCCCGCGCGCGAGGGAGGAGACCGAGCGCCGATCGGAGAAATCCGCCCCGAGCTCCGCAGGTCGCAGGTGTATGCTTACGCATTTTTGTCCTCGAACCTTGTGCTGTGCTCCTGCGGAGACGCAAGAGAGCCCGAAATCTGCCATCTTGGCGCCGCCGTTCTTGTCCAGCAGGATGTTGGGGCCCTTGATGTCCCTGTGGAAGGCCCGGGGCGTCATGTTGTGCAGGTGCGACAGCCCGCAAGCGGCGTCGAGCGCCGCGGACAAGCGGGCTCTCCACAGGAACTGCTCGGACAGCTGTCGGCTCCGCTGGAGGCGCTTGCTCACGTCGCCACCAGAGAGGTACTCGTAGATCAGGCTCCTGCCTCCGGTCTCGAGGTGCCTGGCAAACCCCATGAGGATCACGAGGTTCGGGTGCCGAAAACGCGAGAGCACCTTGACCTCCTCCTCGAAGCCCGCCTCCTCGGGCACCTGAAGGACTTTGATCGCCACCTCGGTGCCATCCACCATGGTGCCCTTGTAGACGCTCCCAAACGTGCCGGACCCCAACAGGGTTCCGGGATCGAAATTCCTGGTGGCGGCCCTCACATCTTCCCCGGAATACTCGATGCTCACGTGGTTTAGATGTGAATCGCTCCTCCCCATGCGCGGGCCCCCTTCGATGTAGTCCAGGGCGGGGTCGATCCAGTCGGACTTCCATCTCTCGAAGAAGCCCGCGATGCCCCCGTTGGCCATCGGCCCCTCTAGCTCACAGGCTGCGATCCGTCACGGCTCGGCACCCGAAGCGGGCCGAGGGGGGCCCATGGTCGGCGCGCGGCGGGCCCGTGGCCCCTTCCGCGCTCCTTGGGCCAACATGGCTGCCGGACCCAGCGCGGCGCGACGGGTGCGTAGACGGAGCCCAAAGAGCCGGGATGGATCCTGCGCGCGCGGGGCACCTCGGCGGCTGACAGCGCCACGACATGACGTCGAGGCGCTGAGACCAGCCTGTCCGCGCCATCCGGGTGATCGGATGGAGTGGACCGGCTGCTCAGCGCCAGGGCCGCAGCGTTCCGGCAGCGCGCTGGCAGCCGCCGAGCTGCCCTGCTCTTCGCCCACCCAGTTCCGAACAGCGGCCCGCGGAGCGTTCGCATCAGTTTTTGTCCCCACATGCTTCGTGGGGTTCTGGTTTTCTTCCTTGCCGCGCCGCACCCGCGACACTCACACCTCACCTCTCTCTCCTTCTCACACAGCGCAGCACAGCACAGCACAGCACAGCACAGCACAGCACAGCACAGCACAGCTCAACGCAGCACAGCACAGCACAGCACAACGCAGCACAGCACAGCATAGCACAGCTCAACGCAGCACAGCACAGCACAGCACAGCGCAGCACAGCACAGCACAGCACAGCTCAGCACAGCTCAGCTCAGCTCGGCACCACACAGCACATCATTGCACAGCTCAGCACAGCATAGCACACAGGGCAGACGCGCAAGGCACGGCACGGCAGAGCGTGGCAGGGGTGGCACTTTCTCGACAACAGAGAGGGTGCGCAGGGGGTGGTCCCTCAGCGCGGTCTCTATGCGTGCCACGGTCGGAGAGCGTTGCAGGGGTGGCACCTTCTCGACACCAGAGAAGGTGCACATCCTCGACACCACAGGGGGGCGCGCTGGGGGTGGGGTCGCTATCCGTTTCGGGCTCGCAAAGCGTGGCAGGCGTGGCACATCCTCGACACCACAGGGGGCGTGCTGGGGGTGGGGTCGCTATCCGTTTCGGGCTCGCAAAGCGTGGCAAGCGTGGCACATCCTCGACACCACAGGGGGCGCGCTCGGGGTCGCTATCCGTTTCGGGCTCGCAAGGCGTGGCAGGCGTGGAAATGTCTCGGGCGCGCTGGGGGTGCGGTCGCTATCCGTTTCGGGCTCGCAAAGCGTGGCAGGCGTGGCACATCCTCGACACCACAGGTGGGCGCGCTCGGGATGGGGTCGCTATCCGTTTCGGGCTCGCAAAGCGTGGCAGGCGTGGCACATCCTCACCACAAGGGGGGCAGATTTGGGGTGGGGTCGCTATCCGTTTCGGGCTCGCAAAGCGTGGCAGGCGTGGCACATCCTCGACACCACAGGGGGCGCGCTGGGGGTGGGGTCGCTATCCGTTTCGGGCTCGCAAAGCGTGGCAGGCGTGGCACATCCTCGACACCACAGGGGGCGCGCTGGGGGTGGGGTCGCTATCCGTTTCGGGCTCGCAAAGCGTGGCAGGCGTGGCACATCCTCGACACCACAGGGGGCGCGCTCGGGGTGGGGTCGCTATCCGTTTCGGGCTCGCAAAGCGTGGCAGGCGTGGCACATCCTCGACACCACAGGGGGCGCGCTGGGGGTGGGGTCGCTATCCGTTTCGGGCTCGCAAAGCGTGGCAGGCGTGGCACATCCTCGACACCACAGGGGGCGCGCTGGGGTGGGGTCGCTACCGTTTCGGGCTCGCAAAGCGTGGCAGGCGTGCACATCCTTGACACCACAGGGGGCGCGCTGGGGGTGCGGTCGCTATCCGTTTCGGGCTCGCAAAGCGTGGCAGGCGTGGCACATCCTCGACGCCACAGGGGGCGCGCTGGGGGTGGGGTCGCTATCCGTTTCGGGCTTGCAAAGCGTGGCAGGCGTGGCACATCCTCGACACCACAGGGGGGCGCGCTGGGGGTGGGGTCGCTATCCGTTTCGGGCTCGCAAAGCGTGGCAGGCGTGGCACATCCTCGACACTGCAGAGGGCGCGCTGGGGGTGGTCGCCATCCGTTTCGGGCTCGCAAAGCGTGGCAGGCGTGGCACATCCTCGACACCACAAGGAGGGCGCGCTGGGGGTGGGGTCGCTGTCTGTTTCGGGCTCGCAAAGCGTGGCAGGCGTGGCAATGTCTCGACACCAGAGGTCTGCGCTGGCGAGAGTTCGCGTCCAATGCAGAACTGTAGACACGTTGGTTCAAGCCGGCTCGGCGCGCTTGCGCTTTCACGCAGGCGTGCCCATAGCACCTGCGTGTGGCAGTCATGCCGCCCAAACTTGCTATGGACGCGCTGGCACCCCCGTGTTTGGCGATGAAGAACGCAATGATTCAGATGGTTGGCGGGGTCAGCGTGGAGAGCTCTCGCAGATGCGCAAGCGGAGTTGTGCTGTCCGCAATTAATGCGTACCGCCGCCGGCTTCGCAATTGGTGGCCCGATACGCTCTACGCGAAGTACTCCGACATGGACGACCACGGCAAGAGGCAGTGCCTGGTGGCGTTCCTGCGGAACCCTGCGTCGGGCGGCTTCGCCTCGGAGGCTCTGTCGGATCAGCCGGAGGAGAAGGAGGACGACGACGGCGGGTCGCCGGCAAAGGTCCGGCGAGCGCGCGAGGCCGGCAGCGCGGGCGCTGATCTAGAGTCTCCCCCCTCCGCAGCGCATGCCGCGCCTGCGAAGGCCACGCCAACGGAGGCCGCGCCGACGAGGGCTCCGCCCATGCAGACTTGCACTCCTCAGCGGTCTCCGGCTGTCTTGCTGGCAACCTCTGTTCGTTCCACTGGCACCCCTCGCATTCAGCTTTCTCCGATGCCCGCGGAGGAGGACGATCGTTGGTCGCAAGGACCTTGGTCACAAAGCCTGCGAGAGTCGGTCGCGGTGACCTGTCTGCGCGCCCAGGCCGATGAGAAAGCTGTCGGATGGCACAAGTCGTTTGCAGAGAAACGAGCGGATGCAGGTGCACAAGTTTGAAAAGCAACGCCCGGACGTGGTCGCCGCCCTCACCAACTCTTTCGGAATTGACAAAGAGAAGGCAAACGGCCTGTTCTGCTTCCCGCCCATGGAGGCTAACTTCAAGTGGACAAGCGCCAGCAAAACGCACCGGGTCAAGAGGTTCGGGCACGCGCTCACGCACGGGCGCTTCCTGACATGCACCGCGCCACAGGGCCAGACGATCCGCGCCGGGGTGACCATCGACTGCGCGCAGGACAAGAGCATTGGCATACCGGAGAAAAGAGAGGAGACCTGGTGGCTGCACCTGTACGCGATGCTCAGCAGAGCTCCTTGCATGGAGGACATGCTCTTGTTTCGGCCGCCGCCACGGGAGGTCTTGCAGAAGGGCCCACCTCCGTCCGTGCTCAAAGCCCTCCAGAAGTTTGATGGGCGCATGGCTACGGAGACACGGGAGATCGAGGCCCTCGCTCTGGAACGCAAATGGATCTTGCCGGCGGCGTGAGGTCATTGGAGCGCACGGCCGCCAGAGTCTTTCCGACGAAGGCAGCGCTGTCCAGCCGCGTCGAATTCGCGCGGCCCGCGCCGCTCCTGGACGATTTCGGAGCGTCCGCCCAGCTTTGGGTGTCGCGGCAACCGCATCCGAATGATTTCCCATCGAAGGGCACTCGCATGTTGCACGCAGGCGGGCCATGTTTTCCATGCCTTGCGCGCACCTCAGAGACTGTCCGTCGAAGAGACGCGGCGACAGACGTGTGGAAACTGCACGAGACTAGAAAATTAGACCGGCCGAGGAAAGGATGGGAGGCAAGGGTGCGGAAGAACGCAGCATGAGGCGAGGGAGAAAGGATAACTCTAGAGGCTCCCTAGAGCGGCTGTGCAAGGGGTGTGAGTAGGACCAACTTCCACAGTGGGCCCCCCGACTACTCGAGCTGTGGCAAATCGTTCTGCATCTCCTCATTGCTTGTTGCCACCCCAGGAAACAGCCCTCGGTGACCACCCCGAACTTTTCCCGATGAAGGATGGAAGGCGGGGAAGAGCGAGGAGATTCAATCAGTAGTGTGATGGATGACAATATTGGGAAACATTCGCGACAAGGGTTTAGAGCGATGGATTGTGCATATATGATAATGAAAAGCAAGCGCATAAGATTGTGAATTAAGTATGTGGGGTTTCTCGGTAGCGTAATTGCCTGGATATGCATAATCCCTGCATGATGTTCCGATAATATATCATAGCCAGTGGGCTCCGCCGATGACATGGGGAAGAAGGGATAATGCTGTCAAGCATACACTAAAGTAACACTGAAGGGAAGAGGCCGGCCCGCCGGCCGACGCACGCGCGCGCGCCGCAGGCTCGCTCCTTTTCCGTTTCCCTAGAGCCAAAATGGTATAGCTGCGGAAGCAGAAGCAGTCAGTACGTCGGGCAGCGCGCGCAAGATGAAGGAGCAGGCAGGGCCAAAGGTTGGTGGTGCGGAAGGGGCGCATTGACTCCCCCCGCGGCGGGGTCCGTAGAGCCGCGCCGACCCCCCTAACCCACCTGGCCTGTACATATGCACAGCCACCGGAGCGAACCCCAATAGCATTTACCACTCAGCGGTGTCTGCCAGGGGACGGAAGGCCGAAGAAGCCCGACCTTCCCTGCCTGACCTAATATTGCCCAGCTCAAGCCACAATGCCCGTGCACACCTGGTGCACCCGCTCCATGATGAAGTTTGGACCAGCATCGACTATGTCGTGCTGGTTCCATTGTGCTGCGTCACCTTTGCCAACGACTTCTCCAGTCACGAGAATCATCCCATGGGTCTCTGTTGCTCCAGTTCCACTGGTTCTGATCCCTGGAGTAGGTGTCCTGTCTATTTTCTCTTCTGCTTGAACTCCACCCGCTTGGCTCGCTCTTGCCCTGGCCCTTCTCTTGCGGCCTCGCCTTCGACGTGGGCGGCGGTGGGGGCTCTGGCAAGGTACTTGACATCCCAGAGTCACGTTTGATCTTGTCGTTGTACACGATCAAACTAGGCCACTGCCACATTTTGCTATGGCCAGTGGCTCGTTG